CCTTCCTTCCTTCCTTCCTTCCTTCCTTCCTTCCTACCTACCTACTTCCTTCCTTCCTACCTTCTTTCTTCCTTCCTTCCTTCCTTCCTTCCTTTCTTCCTTCCTTCCTTCCACCAGTACTGGGACTTGAACTCAGCTTTGTGCTGTCACCCGGCTTTTGGCTCAAGGTCGGCCCTCTATTTGCTCTTACTTCTTTTGTGTTTCTTTGTGTGTGTGTGCCAGGCTTGGGGCTTGAGTTTAGGCTCTGGGTGCTGTCTCTGGGCTCTAAAGCTCAAGGCTTTGTTGCTCTAACACTTGAGCCAGAGCTTCACTTCTGGCTGATTTCGGGTGGTTTCCTGCCCCAGCTGGCTTCGAGCCATGGTCCTCAGACCTCAGCCTCCCGAGTAGCTGGGATTACAGGCGTGAGCCCCGCATCTGACTCGGCTCTGTTTTGAGACGGGATCCTGCTGTCAAGGGCCGAGGCCGGTCTGGGTGGCAGTTATTTCCATGTGTACTCTATGCCATCAGTCTAGGGGTTTTACCACTGATTTCTTAACTTTTTTTATTTTGAAAAACAAGATCTAGTGACCAGGGAAGGACATTTGAGAGGCACGCTTCGCTTCCGCTGAGCTTTGAGGGATCGGGAAATAGCTCCTTGTAATTCACCTGGAGAAAGCAAGGAAGTGACGGATTTTGGAGTAGCCGTGTGGTTCTAGAAGCTTCCTCACAAACCATATGAGGCTGGAAAGAGTCCACGAGAGGAGCTGACCAAAGACCTGGGGCCAAGAAATAAATTCAAGTGAAGCAAAGCATGCCTTTCAGATCTGGGTAGAATTTTGCAAGACTCATTATAGCTGTGTGTCAGAAAAGAGTCGTGTCCGACTTCTCCACGTCCCTCCCGGGCCTGAGTTTCGTCTACTCTCTCTCTGTCTCCACTCGGCAATGACGTGCAATGATTCCTAAAACTGACGGTGTGCCAGAGTCAGGAGAGGAGCTTAAAAAGCAGAAAAAGATTGCCACAGACTATTGAATCAGACTTTCCTGGGATGGGACCCAAGAATCTGCATTTTTTACACAGCTCCACAGAGGACTCTGACAAGCAGCCGGGTCTGGGAACCGCGGTGTAGTGGAAAGAACTCTGTGAGCCCCTAAGCTCAAGCACAAGCGGCTAGAACCACGTTCGTCAACTTGACTCATGGATTGTGAGGAGTCAGGATGGCCGGAGCATTCGGGGAAGCCCCCCCCACACACACACACCGGCCGCTCCAGCCAGCCCAGGCCCTCACACTCTGCTCCGCTGGTGACCCTCCAGCCTGCTGGAGTTGTTTTCTGGAAAAGCATTTCGCTTCCCCTTCTGTGTCTAATTCCTTGTGAAACTTGGTCTCTCCCTTCCTCCTCCACCACATATGTAGATGAATCCTGAAGCCACTGTGGCCTGTGTTCCAAGAGCCTTCCAAGTTCATTGCTACAAGAAACGCTCAGCTTCTAATGCATATTGTTTTTCGATATCTCTTTCCAAATTGCCAGTACAGTTTCCATTTCTGGGAAATTACATAGACATGTCTGGATCCAGCTCTTTTATCTTTGCATTTCTAGCTGCTCTGTTTTCCTTCTTTCTTCCCATCAAATCCTCATATTTTGACATTTTTAAGACCAGCTCTTCCTTGATCTTTTCCTTCCTATAATACATGGAATTGAAATGAGCCCATTCTCCTTGGTGAGCCTTCTCGCCAGACACAGACCTCTCTGAAGTTCAGATTGTCTTTCTGCGAGTGCGTTAACATCACACAAAGCTTGTGGTTTCACCCATCATAAACAAGAGTGTTTAAGTGAGCTGTTTCTTCTCTTCCCAAGAAACACAGAAAGGTTGGGGCAGAGTAAAATGAATTTATAAAAAGAAAAGATGCTTATTTAAAATGGTGGCCATAAAAATAAGAAAACTGACCCAGTGGGAAGAATTTCTAAGTTGCTTTAACTTAAAAGGAAATAGTCTTTTAGACATCCACAGTGAATCAGGATGAAAATACGTTGGCCCCTCGGAAAGCTGTTTTGTTCGCTGTCCAAAGTCGCCCTTTCTCTGGGGCTGTGAGAAGAGGGGGCAGCCCGTGTGTGGACTGGCATCAGAGCCCATGTAACTGGGGAAAGGGGCATGCCCAGTTGCTCTGAGCCTAGGGACAGCTTTGCATCAAGCATTTGCGTAGAAGAAACACTAGCTTCACATTTTCAATCCTCTGCTCTACTTAACAAAAATTCTGCAATGTGGTTTCAGTTGCGCATTTATTTATTTATTTATTTTTGGGTCCGGTTGTGGGGCCTGAACTCTGGGCCTGGGCGCTGTCCCTCAGCTCTTCAGCTCAAGGCTAGTGCTCTACCACTTGAGCCACAGCGCCACTTCCGGCTTCTTTCTTTTTGCTCATGTGGTGCTGAGGAATCGAACCCAGGGCCTCAGGCATGCAAGGCGAATGCTCTACCCCTGAGCCACCTTCCCAGCCTGTTTCTCAACCATTTCACTGTGCTCTGGCTTCCCCGCCTGCCCAGAGCAGGGTGTAGCCATTACCTCCACCGGCCCGGCCGCCCTGGGGGATGGTTTCTGCAACTGACAATCTGACTGACTTTCACATTCTTGCAGCTCTGCCGCCTCCCTGGACCATGGCCGTTTCCCGGCAATTCTGGAGCAGATTCAGGGACCTGGAGCCCCCGTGGCTGAGGCCGAGTCTGTGGAATGACTCTGTGAAGACCTGCATCTCCGAAGGCTTTCAGAGGAGGAGGAGGAGGGGGTTTCTGGCACCCTGGGCTAGTTGGGTGAGCGTGGCAGGTCCCGTGCGGGCTCGTGGGTGTGGGGTGGGTGGCCGTGTCCTGGGGCTGTAGAGCAGGTGGTGGCTCTGAATCGCTGGGACCGCATCCCTGCTGCCCCTGCCCTCCGGCCAGGACCGCATCCCTGCTGCCCCTGCCCTCCGGCCAGGACCGCATCCCTGCTGCCCCTGCCCTTCCAGGAATCCCGGCAAATGCAATCTGACAGTCACCCCTCAGTGACTCGGGCTGGTGACTCTTGGTTCGGGGTAGGAGAAGTGGAGATTTTCAGATCTGCCTGTCTCTCTGCCTGTTTGTCTGTCTGTCCCTCTCCTCCCTCTCATTCCCCCCTCCCTCCCCAGCAATGAGAGGAAACATTCTCCTAGAACAGCCCGGTTGTAAACCCCTTGGGCTGGGCTGTGTGCACGCTCACGCCAGCGGCAGGCATCCGTCCGTCCGTCCGTCCATCTGTCCGTCCGTCTGCACAGTGAGTCCAGCGAGACGAATGGCTGATGGTGGTGGGGCCAGGCGTCCCCATCCTGGCTCTGGGGCTGACGTTCTTCTGTTCTCTTGTTCTCCAGGTGTCTTCCTGGCTTCAAAGCGCCCGTCTGCATCCTTGCAGAAAGCAGCACAAGCTGACCTGGAGGGCAGGCCACGCCAGCACCCCGCAAACGCGGCGTCCCCACGCCGGTGTGGACCAGACCCTGCGCAGCCGACCCCTCTGCCCTGGCCACGGGGTTGCCAGCCCGGCAGCAGCCCGAGGCCCTGCCCCTCAGCCCCGCAGCAGCCCGAGGCCCTGCCCCTCAGCCCCGCAGCAGCCCGAGGCCCTGCCCCTCAGCCCCGCAGCAGCCC